TTTTTTTTTTCCTTCCCCTCCCCCATGGGTTTCTGTTAAGTTTCTCAGGATCCACATAAGAGTGAAACCACATGGTATCTGTCTTTCTCTGTATGGCCTATTTCACTTAGCATCACACTCTCCAATTCCATCCATGTTGCTACAAAGGGCCATATTTCATTCTTTCTCATTGCCACATAGTTCTCCATTGTGTATATAAACCACAATTTTTTTATCCATTCATCAGTTGATGGACATTTAGTCTCTTTCCATAATTTGGCTATTGTTGAGAGTGCTGCTATTAACATTGGGGTACAAGTGCCCCTATGCATCAGTACTCCTGTATCCCTTGGGTAAATTCCTAGCAGAGCTATTGCTGGGTCATAGGGTAGGTCTATTTTTAATTTTTTGAGGAACCTCCACACTGTTTAAAAAAGGAACAATTTTAAAGGTAATCTCCAGTTCTGACCCTCAAGCCAGCCCCATCTTGGAACACCGGGCTCCTGAGGCCACCACAGCCCTTCCTGGCCCCCGACTGCCCCAGCACCACTGTGAGGGAGGCTCTGACTGAGACAGTGGAGGCAGGAACATTGTGGGGATGAGGCTGGTGCTGGAGAACTGTTCATTCAGGTTTGATCTAAAGCTGGTTTCTTCCAGAAACAAACTTTTTTGCCACCCAAATTCCACTGCACCCCCTTCAGACATCTTATTCTAAAAGCCAGAAAGAAATGAAGGGAATAAGAACATGTGGCTTTCCCAACAGCATAAACTTCTCATGGACAGGACAATCCACAGGACTTCAGACCCCAGAGCAAATCTTGCTCTTCCCTGGACCCACCCCTCTCCATTAAAGTCACACTCACCACCTCATGGCAGCCTTATGCATGGGGTGCTATTATTAATCCTGATTTACAAATGAGAATTCTGAAGCTTAGAATTGAAGTGAAACAGCTCACCCAAGAGCACACAGCTTGTAAGTGGCCGAGCTGGCTCTAAATCCAGGTCTGCCTGATGCCCAGCCCAGGCCCTGAACCACCGTGTGAACTACCTGATGCCCTAACTTACACAATTCTACTGAAACTGAAAAGATGGCAGCTTTGAAAGGAAAAAGAAGTTGTAAAAGAGTGACGTAGCCCTGGGAAGGGGTTAGTGGAGGGAATCATGCTCCCTCTCCCTCGGCTGTATTCCAGAAAGGGGGAGGTTGTAGGTGGGTCATACACAAATGAGCTCCAGAAGCTTTTAGCACCAGCTGGTCCTGTATGAACCCTAGCATTGCTGTCCACACCTGCACTGTTCAATACAGTAGCCACTAGCCATGTTGGCTATCTAAATTTATATGAACTCAACTAAAACTTAAAACTTCAGTCCCTCAGTTGCACATTTCAAGCACACAATAGCCTCACATGGCTAACAGCCACTTCGTGGGACAGCAAGGGTGTAGACATTGGTCCTTTAATCAGGCAGCCCCAAGGCTACAGCCTGCTGGGCCTGGTGGTCAACAAGGTGACCATGGCCCTGGCATGCCCCTGGCAGTCAGGGAAAGGGGTCAGAGGTGAAGGAAGTGGCACAGAGACAATGAAAGCCAAGGGCATTAGGTGAGGAGGTAAGTGGCATGGTCAGGCACTTCTCTCTTCAGCAAACCTCCTTTTCTTTTCTCTCTTTCAGAAGAGAGTTCTTTTCCTGACCAATGACTACTTCTTCACAGACATCAGTGACACACCTTTCAGGTGAGGGACCCATGTTTTATTTGGAAGGGAGATGTGGGATGGCTGGAACATAAATTCCAATAACTCCAAGCAGAAATTCCAGGTCTGGGGAATGAATTTACTCATATTTAGTTGGCAATTTTATGGTAACAGAAAAAAACCCCAGGCTTGCCTTCAGGAAACTTGAGGTCTAGACCTGCTTTGCCAGTGTATCCTACTTTGCAGGGTCTGGAGCCAAACTGCCTGGGTTTGGGTCCCAATTGCACCCCTAGCAGGCTGTGTGACCTTAGTCAAGTTACTAACTTCTCTTTGCCTTTGACTCTTGTTTGTAAAATGAAGGTAAAAATAGTAGCTACTTCTTTGTGGTTTGTAGAACATAATCTACTTAAAGATCTTAAAGCGATGCAATGTAAAAGATTGTAAGATGAAAGATCAAATCTGAAAATCTCTTTGGTTCCTTCCAACTGTTGTCAACATGAGGCATTATACAGCTTAAGAAACAAATAGCCCTTATCTCTGAATTACCTCATTTCTCAATAAAGTGTGGTGCCCAACCTGACTGCTCATTAGAATACCTGAGGAATTTTGCAAAACTGTCAATGCCCTGGCTCCATCCAAACAAATGAACTCAGAATTTCTAGGATATACCTGTAATTCAGATATTCAGCAAACATTAACAACAGTGTTCTACTAGGAGAGAGAGGAGGGCATGGTGGTGTTCACCAGGCAGGAAAGCAGTCTCCTATTTGTGAAAGCCTGTGAGACATAGAAACCTCTCCACATTTCAGGAGGTCCCTGAGAGGTTTTGGATGAATCTTGTCTAAAATGGTAGGTGATGGGGCATCTGGTTGGCTCAGTTAGTTGATCGTCCAACTTCGGCTCAGGTCATGATCTCACAGCTCATGGGTTCAAGCCCCGCGTCGGGCTCTGTGCTGACAGCTCAGAGCCTGGAGCCTGCTTTGGGTCTGTGTCTCCCTCTCTCTCTCTGTCCCTAACCCACTCACATTCTGTCTCTGTCTCTCTCAAAAATAAGTAAACATTAAAAAAATTTTTTTTTAATAAATAAAATTAAATGGTAGGTGATGGGGCTCTTGACCTACAGAACTGAGAGTCCTTCTCAGGAAGAGAGGTTGATGGAAGCATAGAACTGCTGCTTTAGTTCTAGAGGAGACAACTTGTGAGGCCAGGGGCAACATTCATAGAGTCCAAGTTGCTGAAGGCGAAGGAAGTAGGCTGGACATTGCTTGGCCCTTGTTGCTGCTGAGCACTTGTGTTCTCTGTTCTCCCCATAGCCTGGGAGTGGTGCTGTCCAGGGGCCATGGAGAGTACATCCTCCTGGGGAACACAACTGTGGAAGAAGGTGGGTCTGTGCCCAGTACTGGTGGGCAGTGTGGGAGGAAAATGGATTCTCCTGGGACACTGAGCAGGGCCAGCCTGGGGCAGAGCCAGAGTCTCCCAGGTCCTGGACTTGAGCAAACTCTCAGAGCAAGGCTGCCTGGTGAGAAGGGGTCTGTGTGTCCTGTGTGCCAGGGTTGCAGGATCTGCCAGTCGGTTGTCAAAGCCGGCAAAGCCTAAGACTTGCCATTGTGGAAAGCTTTGGTGGACCAGAAGAGGTAGGTCAACAGGATATGTTTCTTCTTTGAACAAAGCTAAATTTCACCTAAGTCATGACAAAGGAGGCCGGAAAGAGTAAAGGAGCAAATCTGTAGCCGTTGGATAAGGCCAACAAAACAAAGTACCACCAACTGGGTGGCATAAGCAACAGAAATGCTTTCTCTTGCAGTTCTGGAGGCCATGCCCCCTCCAACACCTCCAGAGCAGGATCCTTCCTGGCCTCTACCTCCTGATTGCCCCAGGCATTTCTTGACTTGAAGCTACAGTTCTTCAGTCTCTGTCCTCACCATCACATGTAGCTTCTCATCTGTGTCTATTTAACCTTGTACAAGGACACCAGTCATATTGGATTAGAGCCCACCCTAATGACTTCATCTTAACTTTATACGTGCCATGACATTATTTCCAAATAAGGTCACATTCACAAGTAGTGGGGTTCATACTTCAACATATCTTTTGGGGGGGACACAGCTGAACCCATAGTAGGGAACTTATGGGAAGTGAACTGAGAGGGGCAGCAAGGAATGGTGGGGAAGGATGGGGGACAAGGTCCCCACCCTCCCTAACCCAACCTGTTCTTTACTTACAGCTGCCTGAGCACGTTGAGAGAACAAAACTAATATCCAGGATTCAGGGATATCTCAGGAAGTCCTGGGATGGTTTGGTCACAGTTCCATTTAACACCCACATTCTGTCCATTCTTCCTTTATCATCTCTTGAGTGCATCTCATGTCTCCATATCCCTGCCACCGCCCTAGTCATTGTCACCTCTCTCCTGGATAACCACAGCAGCCTCCAACTGGTCTCCCTGCTTCTCTCTTCCTGTAAATCTCTGCCAGAGAGATCCATCTAGAAATGCCAGATCAGATTGTGTCACTGCTAAATGACCTTTAATGGCCTTCTAGGGTTTTTTTCTATTTTTGGTCATTTCTCCATGCACTAAGCTTTAAGATCTTCCCATGTGCTTTGCTCTCCCCTGAAATGCTCTCTTCTCCAGTGCCCACCCTCTTAGCCCACCTAACTTGGACCCACTCTTCATGTCCCAGTGTAGATGTCACTTTTCCAGCAGCTGTCCTTGGCAGACCCCCTGTTCCCAGCCACATGCTCCCATGTGACCCCTGCATTCACCCTTTCACAGCATACATCCATGGCATTAGACCACACTCCTTCCCTGTCTTCCACTGTCCCCAAAACGATCAAACTCCCTGGGCCTCCATGGTGCATTCTCTCTTCCTATACTTTTCTTTCTGTACTTAGATATTCTCAGGGCACATTCCTGCAGGGGACAGAGACCAACTTCCATGGGTGAGACCAACCAGTGATCCAAGGACTTGGAATTATGGACTCAACCAGGCTTACTGTGGGGAAAGGAACATCACCCTGTAGCTATTTGCCTTATGTCTATGTCAGTCCAGTACCCCTTTTAATAACTCCACAAATTTCCCCTTGGTATTCCTATCATCCTTTCCTTCAATTTAACAAACCTCAATTGAGCACCTATTTTTGAGGACTGAGTAGGTGCTCAGTAGGGCAATTGTTCATTTACTCATTCAATCAACAAACCTACACTGAGCACACGGTTAGTGTAGGTACAGCAAGAGGCTACAGAGATTACACAAAACAGACTTGGCCCATCTCTGAGTTCTACTTTTGACTGGCCATTTAACTCAGTTGGGTACAATGCAGACAATGAAGCAAAAACCACTGGTTTCAAAGTATCAGCTCTTTGAGAGATCCAAATAGGTGGGATTTGGACACAAGACAATGGGAAGAAAAGCATTTCAGGAAGCAGGAGCAACATGGACAAAGGCATGATTTGTACAAACCCAGCACCATCCTATGGGTTGAGTCCCTACTCCGAGCTGAGAACAAGGAAGAATAAAACCCAGTCCTTCCCTAGAGAAGCTTCCTGGCAGTTGTTTGTAAACAATTCAGGTGCACATCCTCACAACAGTGGGTGAGCACCGTACTGAGTGTGAACTCTGGTTTCAGGCCTGCATGACTTGCTTCACCCAGATCTGACCCTAGCCAGTGACTGGTAAGTGGGAAATTCGCTGTTCACGAAGAGTAGAGAATGGGAAGGAGAAAGGTGGAATTTTCTTGAGGTAACATTGATTCTCCTGGGCTCCAGGATCTACTGCATCACAGATATCGACCCAGACCATCGGAAGCTCAGCCAGCTGGAGGCCATAGTCCGCTTCCTGACAGGGGAGGACCCAGATCTGGAGTGTGAGTGCTGACCCTGCCCACCGAGGACTTTCTTTTTTCTTTTTTTCTTTCTTTCTTTACTTATTTATTTATTTTATTTATTTTTTTAATTTACATCCAAGTTAGTTAACATATAGTGCAATAATGGTTTCAGGAGTAGAATCTAGTGATTTGTCCCTTATGTATAACACCC